GGGGAGGGAGGGGAGTGGAGGAGGAGAGAAGGAAGAAGGATCAGATAAGCTAAGCCTGGATTCCTAACTGGCAGGCACCCTGAAGCCATAAAGTGTGGGACCTGAGGTCGCCGAACTTTGGAGGATTTTTTTTTTTTACCCAGCCCAAGCAGACTAAGATTAATTGTCCCTTATCTGTTGCTTCATGAGCTAGGTTTCTGTGACTTGCAACCCATGCACTTTTGGCTGAGACTGGAGGGCTGAGCTGGCTGGGACCCTGCTAGAGGTGTCTTGTCCTGGAGAGTGTGACAGGACTTCAGTCAGCACAGCTGCTGCCTCTGACAGAAGTGTGGCTGTGACTAGTGAGCTAGGACTGGCTCCTGGGATCAAAGGCGTTCTCCTGGGACACTTGGGACTGCTTGAGAAAAGGAAGAAGGAAGCTGTAGGAGAACACACACACACACACACACACACACACGCGCGCGCGCGCGCGCGCGCACACACACACACACACACACACACACACACACACACACCCCAGGCGGGACTGCTGCACTGACAATATACAATTGTGTGATTTCATTTTGGATTGAGATTCACTATGAATTTGTGTCTTGTACCAAATTTAAGATATTTAGGGCCGCTAGTTCTTCAAATATCTTTTCTACCCTTTGCTTTTGAGACTCTAATTGGATCAACTGGTTGCACATTCGATCTTTCTAACTCTGCCTGTCCCAAAGGCCGTGTTCTTTCATTCTCTCAATGTTTGCCTTCTGTTATTCAGATGCTTTTCTCTGTCTTCAGATTGGTCCTTTCCTCTGTTATCTCAATCGTCCTGTGAAGTCCACCCAGGGAGTTTTGATTTCAGGTGTGTGTTTTTGTGTTTGTTTGGCTTGTTTGGTAGTGGGGTGCGAACCTAAAGGCTATGGCATACTAGGTGAGTGCTCTATCATTAAGCTATCCCCAGACATCTATTTTTTTTTATTTTGTAATATAGACTTGCTAAGTTTTCCAGGTTATCCTTCGATGCACTCTGTAGCTCAGGCAGACTTGGACCATGTGAGCCTCCTGCTGCAGTGTACCACACAGCTGGAATTACAGGCTGATGTTACTAGGCCCAGCTTCTTCTCAGAGTTGTATTTTTCTTTTTCTTTCTCTCTCTTTCTCTCTCTTTTGTTTTAAAAAAGAGGAAAACATTTAATTGGGGCACTTGCTTACAGTTTCAGAAGTTTAGTTCATTATCATCATGGTGGGAGATGGTGGCATGCAGGCAGACATGGTGCTGGAGAAGTAGCTGAGAATTCTACATCTTGATCCAAAGGCAACAGGAAGTGAACTGAGACACTGGGTTTGACTTGAGCATATAGGAGACCTCAAAGCCCACCCCCACAGTGACACACTTCCTCCAACAAGGTCATACCCACTTCAACAAAGCCACATCTCCTAATAGTGCCACTCCCTATGAGCTTATGGGGATATTCAAACTACCAAGCTCAACTCACTAATCTCCAAAATCCTGTAACAATATCACAACGCAAAATGCATTTAGTCCAACTTCAAAAGTCCCCATAGTCTATCACTGTCTCAGTAATGCTTTAAAGTCCAAAGTTCAAAGTCTCTTTTGAGATGCATGAATCTCTTTCCTGTAATCCCCTATAAAACCAAAATCAGAAAGCAGATCACACACTTCCAACATATAATGGCACAGGATAGACATTATCATTCCAGAGCACAGGGAAGGGAGCACGGTGAGGAAATATCAGACCAGAGTGAGATCAAAAACCAGCTGGGCAAACTCCACACTCTGCGTCTCCGTGTCTGATATCAAATGCTCTTCAGATCTCCAACTCCTTTCAGCTTTGTTGACTGCAACACACTTTTCTCTCTTAGGCAGGGTCCACTCCCTGTTAGCAGCTCTCCTTGGCTGGTATCCCGTAGTTCTGGCATCTCCAACATCTTGGGGTCTCTAAGGCAATCCAGGTTTCACCTTCACAGCATCACATGACGGCCTCTCTGGGCCTCCATTCAGGGACACCCCTAACAGCCCATCTCAGAGACGTTCCTTAGTCGCTGAGGAATAATGGAGGGATATTCCATTACCCCTTCCTTCTATCCAAGTTCTGCTGCTTGCTGGGGCTAGAACACGGTCCCCTTGTTCAATCACATCTTGACCAGCTGTCTGTTTTCCTTCACTGCCTCCATAGTTGTATTTTCTGATGAGCTTTCATATCTATTCATTGTGTGTGTGTGTGTGTGTGTGCGTGAGAGAGAGAGAAAGAGAGAGAGAGAGAGAGAGAGAGAGAGAGAGAGAGAGAGAGAGAGAGAGAGAGAAGATTTTCTTTTACTTTATTGGAAATGGTTGTTGTGATGGTCAATCTTATGTGTCAATTTGACTTGGCTGAGGAATGCCCAGATAAAGGCAGAAAAAAAATTATTTCCTGGTGTGTCTGTGAGAGAATTTCTGGAAGAGATTAGCATTTGAATCAGCAAACCGAATAAAGAAGGTCACATTGAAATGTGCAGGAGACAGTCCTTTCGTGGCTGGGGGAGGGTGGTGGCCTCATGAGGCCTCACTCCTGAGTCAGGAACTATTGGCAGTTGTGGGAGGGGGGGGACTGGGAGTAACTTTCTTCAGTGGTGTAGCCACTGGTAAACTGCCCATGCGCCAGTAAACAACCCTTCAGCCACTCTTGTGTAGGCAACCCCAGTTAAATACGCTGGATCTCTCTCTCTCTCTCTCTCTCTCTCTCTCTCTCTCTCTCTCTCTCTCTCTCTCGTTTCTTTGTCTCTGTCTCTCTCTCACACACACGTGGATGGTGGGGGCTGGTAAGGAGGGGCACAGAGGGAGAGAAAGAAAAGAGGGTGAGGAGGTGAAATGACTATAATACATTGCATACAGGTCTGAAGTCATCAAATAATAAAAAAAAAAAAAAAAGAGCTGGAGAGGCGGCTCATGTGTTTGGAGTGTGTACTGTTCTCGCAGGGGACCTGGTTTGGTTATCAGTAACCACGCTGGGAGGCTTACAACCACCTAATCCAGAGGGTCCAACGTCCTCTTCTGGCCAACTTGAGTACTGTGTGTGTGTGTGTGCGCGCACACACACACACACACACACACACACATATCTTTTAAATACATTAAAAACAAATAAAAATTAAAAACCAAGATCACACCCGTCATTGTGTGTTGGCATCACCCAGCCCAATAAGCGCCCAATAGCTGACAAGCGAAGGTCGGAGGAGTTTTCTGTCTCTGCTCTGTCCTTGGTCAATGGTGCTCTCAATTCTTGTGCCTTTGGACTGAATTAAATCACCGTCTTTCCAGGATGTCCCACTCACAGTAGACTGTATGGTTGCTGGTCACCAATGTCCCCCAAGTCCACCCCTACAGGTCCTTCTTTCTCTTTCTCCCTCTGCCCTTCCCTCTCTACCCCGGCATCCTTCTCCCTTCTCCTTCTCTTTCTCGTTGCTTCTGTTTCTCTGAAGAGCTGACGACAGCGGTGGCAGCGGCTGTTTTAAGACTCTATCAGTGAATTTCAGTATCTGGGTCATGTCAGAGTCAGTCTTCCTTCTGGAGGCTGCAGCAAGATTTAAAGGAATTTTCTTGCATAGCAGGTCACTTTGGGGTATTGTAAATGTCTCGGTGTGGAGATGCGGAATTCTGTTCAGTTTTCCAAAACAGTGCTGACATTTTTGGTTTAATTCAGCCTGCAATCCTCTCATTCAGGTTCTCCAGATTGGGGGGGGGGGGCTTTGTTTGTTTAGTTTGGGATCCAATCAGGAGCCTTGTGTATCCTAGGCAAGCATTCTACCATCGAGCTATAACACTAGCCCTTGGCTTTTTAAGACAGGGTCTCACTATGTAGTCCTGTTTATCTTCAGACTTGTAATCCTCTGCCTCAGCCTTCTGATTACCAGTGTGTGTGCCACCATACCTAGCAAGTTTAGGTTTTCCTCGGCCTGCGTGGTTCTGCTCACTGATGTCTGAGGACAGGAGGAGCCGGATGGCCTCCTTAAACAGAAAGGGCAGTGGTCATCCGGGCCAGTCTGCCTGTGCAAGCAAAGGAGTTTCCATGATGTACTTAGAGATGTTTATGGTCTGTTGGAAAGTGTCTCAGGATTTCTTTGGCTCTTTCCTTTCGGTTGCTTTGGAGAGGTCTGAGTATCCCACTGGGCTTCGGGGACAATACAGGGCAAAGGGCAGACATCAAAGACATCACAGATCATCTTTCTCAAGCCTTCACTTTCAAGATGAGAGAATGGGTTCTTGGGAAAATGAAATGACTCGTTCAAGACTAGGCAGCCACTGCATGCAGAGCCGGCTCTGGTGCTCATGTCTCTCAAGTTCCCATCCAATCTTCTTCCTGCCAGACAAGCAATGTCTTCCCTTTCTCGCTGGCTTGCCCAGAGAGAGATCACCGAATAGCCACATCGGTGACCCCAGTGCCCTTGGATGGAGTTATGATTTGAACATGAAATAGAGCATTTGTTTCCCAGCTGCTGGCACTGCTTTGGGAGACGGTGGGACTTTTGGGAGGAGGAACCTATCTGGGAAGGGCATGGGTTTCTTAAGGGGCAGGACTAGAGGCTTACAGTACCACCCAGCATCCTGTGTCGCCTCTGATTCCTCTTCCACCAACATGTAAGGAGGTGAGGCATCTCAAACGCATGTGGCCTTCTGGTCACCCGCTGTCCCTGCACGATGGACTGTGTGCCTTCAGACACTCTCAATAAATCCTCCTTCACCTAAGTTGCTTCTTGTCATGTATGTTGGTGACAGCAATAATAAAGGCCACTTATATAGATGACATAGAGGTAAGGTCTATCAGAGCTGATGAGATTCCCAACCGGTTTTGTTATTTCACAGTATTTAAGAAATACAATATATACTCATAAAGACCAGATGAATCCTCATTATACCATACCATCATAACATTGCTGGATTTCACATGTGGCAGATTCTCTTTGACCCCTTCCTCCTCCCCACTCAGCACCCCAACCACCCCAACCAAGGTACCCACCATAGATACGAAAGGCATATTCGATCTTCAGGCTGGGGCAGGCCTGCTCACTGAATACTGACGCCATGCCCAGAACATCTTCGAAAGAGAACACGCCGTTGTGGGAGAACACCCTGCAGATTCGGTCTCTGAAAGGGTTGACCTGTGAGGGGAGTGAGGGAGACAAGGTCTATCAGGGCCCAGGTGTTGCCTCCCAGGGCCTCTCCCACCTGCCACTAGCACTGTGTCTGGGCCCAGGCAAAAAGAACAAGCCCAGGAGTAAAACAGGACCCTGGGTGTGACGGAGGAACCCAGGACCAGGCAGCCTGCTTGACATCACTCTGCTCGTCCATGTCTCCTCCTGCACACACATTCCAATGGCTCATGTGTGTGTGTGTGTGTGTGTGTGTGTGTGTGTGTGTGTGTGGTGTGCATGTGCATGTGTGGTTTTGGGTCATGTTATTGAAGATTTTTTATGACTATCAAATTTCCCTCCATTTTACATTTAAAACTCAGAAAATTTTTTAAAAATGGATAAAGAATAAAACAAAAGCCGAGTGCCCAGAGGTAACCAGTAGCATTGCTATAGCAGGCAGCAGACCTGGGTTTAATGCTGTGCCATTAGTTACAGAGACACTCAGCGACTATCCCTCAGAGTACAGAGATAATCGCTATGCTGCCATTGCGGGACTGACATGAGGAATGAGCAGAATAGCCCAGTGTCTGATAGAAAACTCAGCCAATGGGAGCTGCTAGTTGCTCCTTACCCACCACAGATGTCATAACCAATAGGGCAGTTTTCAGATGAGGTGCCAAGGCTGGAAATGAAGCTGAGCAGCAGAGCATTTGCCTAGCACGTGTGATGATGCCCTGGGTTCAGTCCCCACCCCATACATGCCTCCACACCTACACACACACACACATGCGCGTGCGTGCATGCACACACACACACACACACACACACACACACACACAGAGTCCCAAATTACCAAGGGCCACGCTGTTTCCAGCTCCAATTCCCTCAAACTGTCCTGATCTTAGCATGTGAGCTCCCTCCTCTACTGACATTCCTCCACGTGGGCTTGTGACATCCCAGCCACCATTGGCCAGTTTGGATACAGCTCACTATTGCAGCTTGCGACTGTCCCTCCAGTCCCCAAGAATAGGCAGGTGGTGAGAGGACTTTCGGGGGCAGAGCTCATCAGAGTTTGTAATAGTTTAGATTATAATTGTCTCCCCAAAGCCTGTGTGTTATAGGTGTGGTCCCCAGGAAGCAGCGGAAGCTTTAAAAGGTAGGTTCCGTGAAAGGTGATAAGACATTAGTGAGATGTGTCCTCAGAGAGGATCATGGGATTCCAGTTCTTCTTATTACCTTTGCATCCCAGGTGCCACGAGGTGGGCAGCTTCCTTCTCTGCATATTGTGTTGTCTTGCAACAGACCCCAAAGCAATGGGGACAGTTGACCAAGGGCTGAAATGACAAAGCTGTAATCCCCTTCTAACACGATCTGCTCCAGTGTTTTATTATAGTGACTGCTGATTCGTATAGAGCTCAGCAGGGAGGCACAGAGAAGGGTGCTTGGCAATCTTTAAAAGTAGCAAGTTCTTGTAGACCAGGCTGGCCTCAAACTCACAGAGATCCACCCGCCTCTGCCTCCCACGTGCTGATATTAAAGGCATGTGCAACCATGGGAAAGGGTAGAAGGGGAGGGGAGAGGAAAAGAGGGGAGCAGAGAAAAATATACAGCTCAAAAAATTTTTTTTTAAAGTAGCAAGTTCAGCTTTGACACGCCCTCTTCTCACTCTCTGGGGCTCCATCCACTCCCTCATCCCAGGATGCCTTTCCCCAGTAGCTCAGCGCCCCCGCCCAGCAGACCTTATCAGACTCCAACCTCTCTCTCTCTCTCATACTTCAAAACAAACCCTATTAGCTCATACCTCCCTCAAATCCCTGTTCTTATATGTACCCTGACTAAGCCTCCCGACCCTTAAGCCTTTAGAGCAGATGCAAGCATACAGTAGAGCCCCAGCTCCCCCGAAGTTCTAATCAGATGAAGTGGTTCTCTGGGTTTTTCTAGCTCTTTCCTATGACAAGGCATCTCTTTAGAGCCCCGTGTTTCATGCAAGCCTCTCTGCTTCAGCTGGGCAATGACCTATCCACGTAACTTGAGCCGACTGCTAAGGATCTATACCAGTGGTTCTCAACCTGTGAGTCATGACCCCTTAGCTGATCGCCAAGACCATTGGAAAACATACGATTCATAACAGTAGCCAAGTTACAGTTATGAAATAGCAACAAAATAATTTTATGGCTGGGTCAGCACACCAGGAAGAACTGTAATAAAGGGGCACAGCGTGAGGGAGGTTGAGAACCCCGCTCTCTGTAGCTCCCACCCGGATCAGCCAATGCTTAGCTCTCTTGCTTCAGGTCTTTAGTTTTGACATTTGGGATATTTTCTTTTTCTTTCCTTCTCCTAGAACTCAGCCATACATTTACCCGTGTGGTTTTATTTGGTGCATCATTGTATTTGAGATGAGACATCGTGTGGCTATGCAGCTCTCAAATTTTACTCAGCATACAGGTCACTTGGAGTCACTCTTAAAAGCACGAATTCGTGTTTGACAGTTGTAGCGCTTCATCTGTGCAAGATGAAGAACCAGCTATTCCCCGTGACGCTTGTAGGTCCCAGTTTTGCACTGTGCATTTGAACATCTAAGAGGGTAGATATTGTGGTAAGTGTTCTAAAAATTCAAGCCCAATATGGTGGTGCACACTTGTAATCCCAGCACTTGGGAAGCTGAGGGAAGAGAATTTGGGGGTCAGAGCCTACTAGCCTTGGCTACATAGGGAGTGCCGGTCCAGCCAGGGATGTATAGCAAGACCTTGTCTCAAAAAACAAAACAAAACAGAGAACAATCTTCTAAAAATCATGAAGAGTGTGGTTGTCACATTATGGTGAGCACATGGTATATACTACATGCATATCACACATACTTTCACCTTCTGAGGCCTTGTGTCAGGGGGTCTAGAGCAGAGGTCAGCATGGTAGAATAAACTGTGTCCCTCCAAAATTCCTGTGTCAAAGTAGCAAATCACCACACCTCAGAATATGACTTCATTAGGAAGTAGAGTTGTAGCTACAATTCCCGAGGTTGAAGGGACATCACACAGAGGAAGGATCCTCATGACATACAATGTTGTCCTCATATGAAGGGACTGGACACGTGTGTTCACAGAGACTGCCACATGGACGCAGAGGCAGATATCAGGGGGAAGCTTCTACAAGTCAAAGAATGAATGCCCAAGATCGCCAGCAACCCTTCAGAAGGTAGAGAGCCTGGATCTGACTCTTCGTCCCAGCTTCGTCCCAGTCTTCAGAAGGAGCCAACCCTGTCTACACACTCTTGGGCTTCCAGCCTTGGCAGTTAGGAGACAACATTTCCATTGTGTAAGTCACAGAGTCTGTGGTACGTAAGTAAATGAATGCACCAAACAGGATGCTGTGTCCTCAGGTCATGGGAGTCTGATATATACATACACACACACACACACATACATACATGTGCATCATAGGCATATACATATACATACATATATAATGTATTATGGAGAAATATATACATATGTCATATACATGTTCCAGAAATGGCCATGATGCAAGGGATTCCAGGCTGACCCACCCAAAAAACCAAGCACACTTCAGGGTGGAGCTTCCGTTCTTTTACTTTAACATGCCCAGAAACACCTCCTATCTCTAATAGACACTGAGAGCTTGAACTCCTAGGTTGTGTTCCAAGTACCTAGCTAAGTGGCTTCATCAATTATGTGACCAAATGTTAGCTACCTTAACTCTTCTCGCAAATGGATATACGGCTTCACAGGATCCCTGCAAGGAATCCATAACCGAAGGCAGTGTTTGTAACGCAGACAAAAGTAAACAGAGAGAAAGCGCCAGCGGTGAGGTATTTTCCTACTTGAAATGCAGCTTTCCTCCACACGGAAAAAGCTCAAGAATCCAGGCAGACAAAACAAGGTGTCCTTGCTTCAATTCTCTGAGCCTGTGCTCAGTCAGGCACAAGGCAGGTCACCACGCTCTCCACCACCGCACTTCTCCAGCTAGGAAGAAGATGAAGTCTTCCTTCCCCTGGGGCCTCCTCCAACGCTGGCCTTGGCTGGGAGTGAGGGGGTTGATGGTGGTGGGGTTGGGGTGTCGGGGGGTTCCTGGAAGATCAATTTACTTTCCCTTTGACCCATCTCATTTGACTTACACACACGTGCGCGTGCACACACCACACACACACACACACACAGAGGGGAGGTGGGCAATGTGGTATCCTCTAGGTTAAACAATCACCATCTTAATTATGCCAGCTGTGCCTGTTTTCAAACAAGCATAGAGTTAGGGCCTACTGGCTGCTGGGGTTTCCTCAGAGAAGGAGGAATTTAGGAGAGCAGGAACCCTCTTCTGAGACTCCAGCCACTCTTCCCAGCCCTTTGCATGCAATTCTATTCTAACAGCAAATGGTGTAGGGGTCTTGGGGTGGTTAGTGAAAGGGACCCCCCATCTGTGTGACTGTGGGGAAGCCATCATTCATGCTGGGTAAAGATTTTCTGGCACGGCAAGGTCACTCGTGGTCCTTTATGCAACCCCTCATCTGGACTCTGGAAGTCTACTAAACTCCTTGGTTTCTTAGGTTGGACTTTTTGTTGTTGGGGCCTTATAAGGCGAGTGCATATGTTTATATCTTCCCAGAGGAGGAATTCTCGGAATATACATTCCCCCCTTAGACTGGAAACCCAGAGGTTGGTAGTTGATGACAGCAAGAATAATGGCATATACACTGCAACCTTGGAAAATGCAAAGACGGTATTTCTGAAGACGAAGAGAAGGAGCGGGTCTCACGCTGCCAAGCCTTTGTGAAATACTTAAAAGCACAGATGTTTCTAACTTGGATTTCTTAGGTTTTGATTTAACGACGAACTACATGAAGAGCCTTGTGACTCTGAGCCACTAAAGAGGGAGCTGTCACAGAATAATAATAAAAACATCATTTCTAGTTGTGTGTGGTGGTACAGGCCTGTCATCCCAGCACTGGGGAGGTAGAGGCAGGAGGACCATGAGTTCAAGGCTGACCTGGACTACATGGCAAAACCCAGTCTTGA